TTAATGGAATATTGTGCTATTTTACGTATTCAAACGCTATCCAGCTATTAAAACATGGTGAAAATTTTTTCCTTTACCAAGATTAATAAAAACCTCCAATCAAAATTTAACGTGCAATTATTCAACAGTCCTATTTCAATTCCGTCTTAAGAAAAGTGGTATAACGAGCATATCCCTTTGACATAAAAGCATTGATTTGGCGTCAGTATGATCACAACTGTTTTCGGATTGGATGGTTACTTTAAGCCAAAGACAGAAAGTTAGGTTTCGCCAAGATCTAGCTCAGGACCTCTCAGGTATTCAAGGCCAATGGCTCATAAAGCATTTCTCCTTTCTTCTAAGTAATCGTTGAATGCTCTCGGTGATTGTGAATTAAACTACCATTTACTAGTAGCAATAATTTCAGAGAACGTATGGTGAGAAGGCAAGCATGCTATGAGTCCTCCATTGAAAATAGATTTACATTATAAGCGCTTGTCAATAATTTCGTAAAATGTCAGTGGTCCTCGTTAAAAAACTGTGGGCTTGAGCTTATGTTATGGATTTTGACAATTCTTGCATCTTAAGGAGTATGTTTCCTTGTACCACCTCACAACTTATGCACTTTAGCAATCAGACTTTAAAATGTAAAATGCTCCAATGTCTATGTATTATGGATGGCTTAAGCTTGAGTTATCTTTTATAACTGGGGTGTGCAATAGACTTACCTCCACGTGGTGCACCCTGGGCAGCGTATACTCATACGGCAAAAAAGTTTATTATTCGACAGTTGAATTCTGACTTCAAACTACCATTATCCCACAGCATGTAATATTCCAAAACTTCTACAGTACACACATCAACTTTTCTCTACCTTTTGTCACTCTGTCTCTTCTACACCTGTGAATCACTCTTCCGTTCCCCACCCCTCGACTTTCTGTTACTTCGATGTTCCTCCTCCTCTCTGTGAAACCCGAAGTCAGATAAAGGGCTAATGATAACTATTCAAACGCCTGACATTTGAAATAATAATAAACCTTTATAGCTAAATGGATACCTCGCGTGGGCGGTAATTGGCGCCAATTTTAAGGGTTCAACAAGGGTATGTATCTTAGGCGCACAGCTAATGTACTCTACAAAATTCCAATATACAGACGGTTTCATAGAATTCCATTCCGAAAGGAGACTTCGTTGCGAAAATACGATTGAAATGGATATCCGGCCTGATATGGACACACCCTTGGCCTTCTTGCCGTGATTTTAATTGGTTTAGTTCCAGTTGCGCTCTTTCTAAACTTCATACCAACCGAATTATTGGTGCAATCTTCTAAATTAATGAAATTTTAAAAGCCAAGTTTATGTGACTTAAATCTGGATATCTGCCAGGTATTCACAAGGTGAAGTTGATTCAGACTCAAAGAGATGGAATAATGTGGTCAGCTTGTTTACTCCAAAAAAATATTGATTCAAACATGAGTAAGAATATGAGCCTTCTTAGTATGTTTTTGAATGATTATTTCCAAATTCACTTGCAGGATGTCAACAGCACTGGTTCTGTATATTGATATGAGTGACTTACCGTCGTAAATTGCATATTGAGAAGCAAAGGATTCCGTAACTTTGAGACATTTGCATTGCTTTCTAAGTAAACATTTTTTAACAGGGATAAAGTTGTCAATGAATGGTATGAACTTAAGTGACCTCACTCAATAAACTCGAACATTTAAATTATATCGTACGTGTATGGGATTGAAGCACATAAGGACATTCGAAACTATATGCACTTGTACCAAAATGTAACGGATTTTTTTACTTGTAAGTGATGATAACCTCTGTTTACTTAAACTTACATCTAGTCATTTACTTATGTATTCACTAAATGCCCTTTATTAAACGAAAATTAATATTTACCCAAGGGATTATTAGTTATCTCAGCTTATTTAGTCACATAACACGCTGGTCACACTTGCTGTTGGTAATTTGACTAGGTAATGGAAAGGGGAAGAAGTCAAAAAAAGGAGAAACTGCAAATGTAGAAGCCAAGTGATAGAAATGAGGACGAAAGGAAGCCAGTTGTCTGACTTGATCTTACGAGTTGGCCGATGAGAGACGGAACTTAGAAATGAGGTGAAAATCGATCCAGAGTCAATGTCACACATGAGTGTTTATTTTAATGATACATGGTCGGCCAAGGTGGATGGAATGTGAAGAATTTAGTGGCAGATTCGTAGTGATTTAAGGCGTTCCTTCAAGAAGTTTGCAAGAGATGCAAATGAATGCACGGTGATTGCTTAACATTCAATTATCGATCGGCTGCCCGTAGAAAAATTCGAGAAAAATAGCTCATTACAATCTGAAACACATGGAGTACATTCGCACACCAACATCTTTATTTGATTTTAGCAATAGGCTAAACGAAATGTTTGCAGCTAAACAATTAAACACAATTAAACACAATACCCCTTTTCGCAAATACTTGATTAGCCAATAAAAAATGAGCAAACTAAGTTCATTTAAGTAAATGTGAAATTCTTTTCAATTCATAAGTTCGTCTTAACTTTTTAATCATTTAGAACGATTAATTTTGTGCTTATTCCTTTCCTATTTAAATACACATCAAAATTTCATATTAATATAGTATTCCTTGTTTTGTCATAGATTCGTTCTGATAATCAGCACGCGACATAACTGTAATCAAAATGATAGTGACATTGTTAATTGAAAGGCATACAATTCAAGGCCGCATCACAGAGTTAGTTTATTTAAACAAAATATGCAATTTTCCAAAATTTGATTTTATCTGAACTCGTCGAAAATTTTATCCGGTCGTTTTGCATTTCTATGATAGATAGTTACTAAAGCGCATGAAAATAAGTTATGTGGGTGACATTGACGGAAATCATTGTCCCTTAGAGACGGAAAGTTTGTGTGATAAAAGATTTCAATTGCTGAATCCAAACCGGCCCATAGTATCATAATTTTGCTTGGAACATCTTTAGCTTAACCAAACGATAGTATGTAGACTTTCGTTCATTAAGATGCGCATTTATAACGTGACTTTCAATTGATTGCCGGTGGTAAATTAAGCGAACTTAGAGCATTGGGAAAGTAAATGTGAAATGAGGGAATTGAACCCAGACGGAACTTATCAAATCATAGAAGGTGGTTTCATGTGCCGTAATCTCAGTAAAAGGGAATACGTCCTGATAGTCCGATTTGTGTTAGAATTGTATTATGAAAACCACCTACCCATGCGAATGAAGAATGAAGAGGGAAGGCAGTTGTAATAGAAAACACTAACATATTGGTAATGTATCCATGCGTATATGTGAACGGTCACACAGTCCCATGAAGACTAGCTAGTAAAGCACAATAAGTGTTTCACTTGGATACACAGGCGCAATCGTATTCTAGGAAATATATCCCGAACTAGACTACGCTGTCTGGATGAATTTTCTTTAAACAAACATTGGGGCACTGCAATCACTTCCACAAGTCATACAATCTAAAGGTGCTTTATGTCTAGAAGGGAGTTGGAATTGCATTATGGTCAACATGGATGCAAAGCGACGGGAGGTGTCGCCAATGACGTGGATTATTGCGTTGCCTTCTGCAAAGCCCTTCCTTTTCTGAATTTCGAGCATTAACTGAAGTCGCTCTCTCAACCACTTCAAATTTTGCCATGAATTCTCACCGGCCGTGGCTTTTAGCATAACTTTATAAAGCAATATATTTATTTATATCAAATGATAGACTTTATGATGGCTATCATTAGCCCTTTAGTTGACTTTCGGCTTCACGGAGAAGGGGAACATCAAAGTCGTAAAAATCGAGGGGAGGGGGGATGGTGGGGAGGGGGCCAGACGAGTGCTTCATAGATGTAAGGGAAACAAACGTAAAAGTTGAGATATAAAAGTAAGATGCATACTGTGGAAGGGGTCGAATATTTATACAGTGGGTTCATGGTAGTTTTAAGTCAACTGCCTGTCTGCGGATTTTCTGCCGCATATGTACACGTTGCCCAGGGTGCGCCACGTGGAGGTAAGTCTATCGCATGCCCCATGATGCAATATATTTAATATAGTACTTTCTTCAGATATCCGGGTAATGTGGAATAAATACTTTAATTTATGAAAAGTAATTGGTTTCGACACCACTTTTGCACTTGAGTTTGACTTTTTAAATTGAAAGAACAAAGCAGAGATGCAATTTTCAATATTGTTCATGCATAGCTTTGAATATACCACCTAAAGTAAGACCATGGAACGCATTGCAGATCGAGTTGAGATTTCTCTTCCTTTTTTACTTCAGCTGAGTACAACAAAGTGGATGGCCATGCTCTTGAAGAACCATAGTGAGTGGAGAGCTTATTCGCTGGTTTCCTCTGTGTGACAGTAAAGAAGTCTTCACTCTTAGGCTCCTATGACGCATTGCTGGCGTGTTCCGAAATTCATTTCAAGGCACTTCAAGGCATCACTTTGACCTAGAAAGTGCATTAAAATGCTTCGCAAAGGCAAAATAAATGTAAAACGCCAAGGTAACCTAGGGCGTGACCGGTACATCATGACTGAAACACTTAATAAAATTGATTACCACCTCGTAAATTTACTGGTGTCATCTAAAGCTGTCAATTGAATGTACATTTTCAAAGAGCATATTTCACCCATTCATCCCACCAATATAATGGGCATAAGCGCATAATTTCAGGAGCCGTTAAACTTCTCAAGATCAATGATTTGGTAAATCCGAATGTTTCATCCACGCGATGCATGCTCAGCTTCGAGAGGGGCTTGAGAGTTTGAATGATATTAAAGAAAATGTTAGCGAAATTCTTGGCTGAACAGTAAAGTACTGAATTTGACGAACTCCAAAGACCGAATTTTTTCCTTTTCCAAAGTTAGGGCCTTAAATAACAATGATTTGCTTAGAAGCATCGTAAGTAGACATTCGATTGCGATTTGGATACAAATTTTGTTTACATACATGATTCATCCCATTAGTCCGTAATAATTATTTAAAAAATGTGGTCCTCCGAGGTACGGCTATTTATTAACGTCTGCGAAACATCTCATTTTTACTATATTCACCGCAGTATCAAATTTCTCTCCAAGAGGTAATAATCGATTTTCATGCACAGGTGCTAATGTTTATCGACCTAGAGGTTGAATTGAAGGTCTATTAAAAGTCATCGTGCTTCCTCAACTGTTTATAGACCCTATCCCCAAGTAGTTATATTACAGGCGCGTACCATTACGCCTGTCACTAATTATGTAAACATTTCGTCAGGGTTGAAATTTATCAAATTACGATAAAAATTAATCAAAAAATCAATAAAATACACGGAATAACTCCTAATGTACCAGAAGAATGTATGCCTGTTCCAAAATCAGTTAGAATCGATTTAATAGTATGTGAAATAGCATTTTGCCTTTTTAGGCTCCTGATAAAATGTAACTATTGCATTGATGCTTCTCAAATAACCTTTGCTAATGGCAATAATGGCTTAGGCCATTACCTTCTCATTATTTACTAATTCCTCTTTTGTTAAATTAGTTGTAAGAAAATATTCAAGGGTGACGATTAGTCTCGTTTGCATGTTTCCATCTTAGCGCAACATGCACATGACATAATTAGCCACTTTTACCTAGGCCAATTACCTGGAAAGCTATGAAAATGGCTAACCAATCAATAGAGTAGTACTCCTGCTGCAATTTAACCAATCAAATTGATCCGTCTTGTCAAGTGGTTGTGAAACCGCTTTAGATAAATCTGCTTGCTCTCAACGTTTTGCAGACAGTCTTCCCAATACATTCCTCACTGCTAGTGCGAATTCCAGTTTAAGTATGATAAACTGGTCCGAATGAAGACAGAGGAAGATACTGCTAGCAACGAGGCTTATTTATACTCTTCTAAGTGTGAAGTTTCACCACTCAACGCTGCGCTAAACATAAGACGGCTTCTGGTTGGTAGCCCTGGTTCTTCTGGATGCAATCACTTGTCCTCGGCGCCAGCAGCCAATCAAAACGCGGAAACCTCAGCCTATGACCCAACCACTGCTAACACAAGCAAAGTTCACTTTCTAGAGCTAGAACAAGTACCCAAATCATCGTCAAATGATATTCTACTGCTAAATCAAGTTGGAAACATGAACAACTCCATGACATTGACTAATCCATCCGATGGAGAATTTGCTCAGCCCCAGATTCGACGAGAAAGTAAAGGGTTAACGGGATGTTCACTGAGGGAATTTCTTCTTCTCATCCTCTGTGGCATTCTTATTGCCCTACTTTTGATCGTAATTTTCCTCTATTTTGCATCACTTAGGTGTAAGCTAACATTTTTATTGATTAATGCATTTAATAAATTTAAAGTGCACGAGTCCATATACAAGTAATATTAAAATTGTGTCAGCAAATCTGTCACATTATTGCATTAAAGTTCATATCCTTCATAAAAAATCAATTCCAGGTATAATTTCTCACTCAAAATAGTCTTTTTTACGAGTTTGTCTGAATGTTACTTTCCTTAAAAATTTATATATTGAAAAAATAGTTGCACTATTAGACTTTGAATTGCATTATTTATTTTTAACAATTCATTAATTAATACAAATAGAAAGATTCCAGCGACAAATTGATATATTGCGCTTCATACGAGAAATCTTCTGCGTTTGTTATTTTTTCATGTTTATCGGATTGAATAAATAATATTTTGAATTAAAATTGCCTTAAATATCAAACAAGAATAATATAATATCATAAACAATAAAAAGAATCCAATTTTTAATTTTAAAGTGAGGCGTTGTACCTATTCTATACTCATACTACCAGAATTTGTTGATTTTACAACCAAAATATTGTATTATGTAATCTTCGTTTAAAACTAACCTTGTATCTATCAAAATTTAAATTAAATGAGTATACACACGTGCATATCGTCTTAATGCCAGAGTTTTGATACTTGATTATCTGGAGATTTCATTGTTGACCATAGATGCAATGACTTACGTTTACATTCGCAATCACCCATAGGTTTAGAATATATGTACCCAAATTGAAATTATTCTCATTTTTAAAATAAATGCAAACGTTTCTTTCCAGCTGAGGTGTGTCAAACGACGGAATGCGTGGAAACGTCATACAAAATTCTCTCCGCAATGAACCAATCTGTGGATCCTTGCGAAGACTTCTACAACTACGCTTGTGGTGGTTGGATTGAAAGAAATCATATTCCACCTGGATTCAATCAGTGGACAGTGTTTTCGGAATTAGGCCAAACTGCTGAATACTTCGCCAAGGAACTGCTGGGTACGTAATAACTTTCTGCTTTCAATGAACTTTGACAACCTCATTAGGACATTACGACTTACTCAAAGTATCGAATGCTACGTCATAGTTGTTGACATCTTCAAGATTCATGATAATTAAATTTATTTTTAACAATCGAGATTAATTTCTATTATGGGAACCAGGAAGTTGTTTGTGCAGAAAATTAAGTGAAATAGACAAAATAGGCTTGTCGTTTTTGATTTGACCTGTTATTATCGCCAACACTTGAGGTGTAGGCAATTTCAAATAAAGTATATATCGTTATTAATTCTGTTAGGATTAACAAACCAGTTCGTCACTTCACTGTCAGCAGAGATACACACTAGAAAAGGGTGTGTGTACTTGCTATAAATATCCCCATAAGAGGGAGAATGAACTTTCGAAGGACTTGCGAATAAAATTGACAGTCTCCCTAAAAGTTCAACTCGATGCTCATAAGTAAGATCTGGGAAATTTCTCATTAAAGGCCACTAAGGGGAAATTCGTACTGAAAGCTGTTTTTAATTTCCAAAGATTTTTATCTAATTCACTTTTTTCAGTACTAATTTTGCAAGCAAGATTTTAAAATTGTCGAAAGATTTTGGAATAGTACTTTAATAGTAATAAAACTGATAAAATTGAAAAAAACATTCATTAATATTTTACTACATAAGGCCTACAATGTTAACGATTGTATCAAGGTAAAAGAAGGTAACAAGATATACTTAGCCTTCAATATGCTGCCTCGAGAGAGGAAGTAGAAGTGAATTTTAAGGGTGGGAGATCTTTGTCTCCAGATCAATTATTTTTTGCTCCGGTGTTTTCTTTTGTCAATTCGGCCATTTCAAGGTTGGGTAGTTGTTTGCATCCCGGTTGGTCATATCTCATCTCTGAAGACACTTGTATGGGGGTGAGGAGGTGGGGGGGTGCCTGTGTTATCTCTCCCAATAACAAAAGTAATTTTGATCCGACTTTTGAGCCACTATATGCGAGAGATTGCTTATGATGATAGCCAAAACAGAGTCATTCGTCAAAATCTAAGATTTTCCAACGCTTACCTCAATGAGAATAGTTATGAAGAAAGTTCGTGTGATACTATTCACAATTTCAATGTTCATTTTAACCTGATACCAGTGAAATTGAAAATAATTTACCGAAAATACAGATATAAGTTAATTTAACTAAAATTTGACTTAGATGAAGGGACATCTGACCTAAGCACTCCCTCCAAAGCCCCAATTCAAAAAGGTTCTATGGCAATGGGATGCCAATTTAAATTCGAGTTGTAAAAGTAAAACCATTTTTACTGCAATTTAAATTCGATATGAATTGTAATTTATTTTTTCCAAAATAAATGAAAATGTTTTTTTAAAGTCCACTTATCTCGACAGATTTAATTCTTGGTGAAATATTTCAAGGAGCACAAGCATGCTAGATATCCTAATCGTTGTTCTAATTGATTTCATGAGCATGAAAAGTGTTAATTATGATATTTTGCTAATTAAAAATCAGTTATAAATCTGAATTGATGGCAGAAAATATGTCTACGGTGAAAATAATCCCACACTCTATTAGTTTAAAGCACATGCGTTTCCCTAGAAAAAAAATAGGAACGGGAAATCATATTTAGCGTCAGCTGTTTACTTGCCCAAAAAAGAACCATTACATTTCTTGTGCATTTGAAACAAAAATATACAAATATGTGTGTGTAGTTTACGGCCGGATGGAATTGGCGTTTTTTGTTGCTTAAAATAAATAAAAAATGACATTTTGCTTAAACGATGAATGCATCAAGTAATTAGGCAACCAATAGTGGTAAAACTTAGGCGTTTCAAGCACTCATCTTGGAAGGGGGTAGGGGGAACAGAGTTTCTTTAAACTGCTTTCAAGCGTTTGGAAAGTGCGATAATGATCCGTTTTTTTGCAATTAGCAGCCGCGACTAAGGATAAAACAATCATAGTAGGAGTTGTTGCAGCGATTACCGTAATTAATAAACTAGAATAACTATTCAACGAAAGTCCCAAATTCGCAGTAAATAATTTTCTTTCTTCTTGGGGGGGGGGGGAATAGTGGTTTTTGGCATAGAAGAAAATGGACAACCCTTAAAATTCCCTAATAATTCACAGCAAGTAGGTGGGAGAATTAGGTTTGTGGATTCTAGGAGTTCTATTTTTACTACCCACTCTAGCTGAAGGGTCTACCTTTATATCCTTCCGTGACCTTCAAATCACCCCCCCCCTCCACCGAGACATTTGAAGATGTACCAGTATTTCCTTTAATACAAGGAATAATGTAGATGGAATTTGTCCACTGTGTGAGTATTGAGCCATTCACTAAACCTCTTAACAGTATCGATTAGTAATGGGATAGCGGCATTGGGAAAGTCCCTAAATTTTAAAGAGCAACGTATTTCAACTCCCTGGAAAGATCAATATTCAGAAATGATTATCTACAAAAAAAATTGGCATTTTAATTATCCCCTGATAAAAACTTCAGAATTTGCTACTTTCTCTTTATTGAATATTACGCAGTCGAGTTCAAACTCTGTAAGGTTTCAGTTTTGAAACCAGCACACTAAAACGAGGGTAACGAAGTTCTCCCCTTTTTAATTACCTGAAGAGCTCTGTCATTTTTGAGGTTGACCATTGGTTATAAAAAATGGCCTCCCTATATAGACTGATGGGAAGATCAGTAGTAGTGGAATACAAAAGAAATAAGGGAGTAATAGACATGACAAGGAAGGCCAGAGAAGAGCAATTTGGAGATTGCGAAATTTGGATTTCGATTGTGTACAGTGGAGGGGGGGGGGTCGTGTGATTTGACGTCCTTTGTGTAACGATGAGAAACCAGCTAAATGTCACCGAATGACAAATTCGATGCGCAGGTGGGTTGTGAGTCAGTTAACAAGCTCTTCGTGTTATTTGATCTAAGTCAATAATTGATTACTATAGTTCAAAAAAGTCAACATTTTGGCGCCATTTTAAGAAGTTAAAACTGAACTATCTTGCATTCTAGAAAAGGATATTCAGCCAGATGATAGCAGGGGCTTGCAATTGGCAAAAACCTATTATTCCTCCTGCCTCAACGAGCATGCAGTTGATGCTCTTGGATTAACACCATTAAAGGAGAAAATGACTGAACTCTACGGCGGTTGGCGGCTCCTACCTAAAGGAATATTAGGCGGTCGAAATGATTCTACAGACCCTTTCGTGGTTGGTAAATTTGATCTCACTGAGCAGCTCATAAGTACTCTTAAATGCGGTCAATCCAACGACATCTTCTCCTTTATCATTGAAAAAGATCCTCGCAGTTCCAGTCACTATGCTATCACGGTACAGTAATTACATGATTTACATTACTTATATTAAGTAATACTGTATTCCGTGATTAAAAGCGGTTTTTGACCCTCGACTAAATAGGACCTAGAAACGTCTCCTTTTTAAGTTCTTAACCTTAGAGGCTGACTGTAGTCAGAGGACCAAAATTTGATTGGATAAGAAAGAGCATATGCAAACATTGGGAAATGTTTTGGGGAGGGAGGGGTTTGGAGGAAGCGTGGGGAACGGGGATAATTATAAATTGGCCTAATGAAAATACGCAGATTGAAGCTGAAGGTTTCATTTACCACCCGAAAAATTAGGATAGAACGTGAAATCGAATCAGCAAGTGCGTCCTGTGAAAATGCTACAAATATCAGCTACCAATTAGATACGATATACTATTTGCTTAAATTCCAGAAGCAGAAATTAGATGTGAGAGATATGAAACAGAAGTTATCATGAGCACAGCTTCAAAATAAAGTACCGTTTTATTGAATATTTAAAGAGCGTAGAAAGGATTATTCATTACTGATTCAATAGTCATATATATATATATATATATATATATATATATATATATACGGAATAAAGAGTTTACTAAGAAATATAGATTCAGGTAGTCGGAGAAGTTCAAAAGAAATAACAATACATGCTATCTCGTACAATACTACCATTCACACTTGCCTATTGAATATTTTGCCTAAATTTAGTCAGCCGTGAAATTGTATCAGTTCTCGAATAACAATCTGTAACTAATAATCGTATTTCTTTGAATTTTAACATTTCGTTTAATGACAGACAATCGAATATTCATGGTTTTTTATAATTCAATTGGTCTAAATTTCTCAGCTCAATCCAGGTGACGTCAGTATGCAGCCTGAATATTACCTGGAGACCAGCGACCCCAAAATGGTGACTGTAAGTTCGATTGATCACTTAAAATATTTGTTTATATTTATTTATTTATATCAATGGCAGGCGTTTTGATGGCTATCATTAGCCCTTTAGTTGACTTCAGGCCTCACGAAGGAGGGGAAGGAACATCAAAGTGAAAAAATATCGAGAGGGGGGGGGGAGGAACAGAAGAGTTTCAGGGTAGAAAAAAGGTGAGGTGAGTACTGTGGGAAGATGTCGAATATGACATACAGTGAGGTGGTGGTAATTTAAAGTCAGAAGTCAATTGCCGGTTAATAGACTTTTTTGCCATATGAGTATACGTTGCCCAGGGTGCACCGCGTGGAGGCAAGTCTACCGCACATCCCTCACTTAAAATATTGCAACCTCCAACTTGATTTTATTCTTTAAATAACTGAAAAATAATTTATTGTCAGTTCAATTCTTCCCCCCCCCCATATCTGAAATCTTTTACCTGGATAAATGTCAAAAGTATACACTTCAGTAATTGATAAATTAATATTATTAATATAATTAAATTAAGTTCTTTTTGCTTATCCAAACTGGCATGACTAATACAATTAGCATTGTCAATTTATGCCTTCAAAATCATTCTCTCCTATCTCACGAAAGCTGGATCGAAAATAACCATGATAATGGATCCCCTATTCTATGCCAACACTATCGACAATCTTTTTTAATAGAAATGGAAGGCTAAAGGCATATTAATATGCTATCTTTAAGCTGAAAATCAAATTCAAACCGAGTTATTTCAAGTTGAATAGTACATTTTCTTCTGGATGAAATATTCGAGAAGTTAATCCCACGAACCTTTAGAACCAAGTATCTCCAATTTTTTTCTTCAAATTACATTGGTATGAAACTTTAGTGTCCTTTAACATCTACCAACTTTCAATCACAACGGACTGTTATGTGATCACTGAGGAAAAAAGATTTAGCTATAAGCAATCACCGAAATCGATCATTTTGAAAAGTCTTTCCCCTTTCTCATTGCAGATCGTTAAACTTTTTCGTGATTTCATGCGAACTTATTCCAAAATGCTTGGCGTTAAAGAGTCTGATCTTCCAGCGTTGGATGCAGTTTTCGAATTGGAAACCCTGATGGCTCAGGTATGTGCGTGACCTCGACAGTTTACTTAGTTTATTCCTAATGTTTCGAATACGTTCTTGTCTACTTATTTCTTTTTTTTCAATTTAGAATATGGAGCCAAGAGCACGTCAGAGCGTGGAAACAAATGTATTCAATATGAATTTAACAGAGTTACAAGCCTTTTGCAGTGTGGTATGTCAGATACTAGTCTCTTCAAAGTTTACTATTTCACTTTTTAACAGTATTAACTGATTTAAGACAGCTTCACTTGAGAGGGGTCCAATTAATTCATTAATTGTCATTGCATGTTGCCTTTTTTTAGTTCTTACGCAGTCTCTACCATTGTACTGTTATGCAATATACGCCTTTCTAATGGACATAATTATTGTAATTTATATTCGCCACATAAACATGAAAAAATGTATTCAATTTCAAACTTCTGAAATGAAAAATCTACAGTTTCCCACATAAAATGAGATGATTAAGGCGCTCAAAAACAGTTTCGGTGCATGTGAATTGGCAAGAAATAGAGTGGGAATCGGCTGGGGACCCCAGTATGAAATCAGTTCTGTACCCACTAGAACACCATAGGGGGTTTCAGAAACTCTCTTCAAATGCTCATGAGATGAAAAAATCCACCAAATAATCTGCCATCTGGCAGACTCTTCATTCATGTAAAGTAAGAAGATAGAGTTAGTAAAGTTGCATTCATTCGTATCAACCTAGATTACACTATTTTGTAAATTTTGAAGCTTTTCAGTACAATTGATTCAGTCCCTAAGGGAGAGAGAGAAGAGAGGGCTCTGTCTCTCCATTACGTGTTTTTATTAATAGAATATCTTATTTTTCAATAAAAATCGTTATATTATCTGCATTCGGAGGTGGGTGCACTGCCAAACTGATGACATTAATTGGTCTGTATAGCTGTCAAGCTGTCAGGAGCGGCGTGTATCACGCACTGTAGGTAACGGGATGAAAAGATGTAGGCCAAAACGCTACTGAACAGAAAAAAATATGCAGATTATCTTAAGACCACAAATTTCATAGTCGGTAAGGCTTTAAGTTCATCGAATTTCACTCTTTCACATATTCTCAATGAAAAATGATGTGCCAAACCGCGTTTTCCAATGTCACTAGAAGGTAACTTTGATTGACAATTCCCATTCAAACTATGAGAAGAATCTTTCAAAATGTTCACATCGGTTACAGGGGGTGGTATTTTAAGGAATCTCCGATGAGTGTTCCACCATTTTAATTAATACTTTCACTTATTGACCGATTCGCTCTCTACGTTTAGAGCCTTTTAAATTTTTCCAAAATGTCAGTATAATGTTCTGAATTATAAATGCAACGATAAAACACTATTGAATTAGATGACGGGTATAATTGCAGCTAACAATTGTTTTCCATTGTCTAATTTGAATTTTGGAGATTGACTGGAAGCGACTCTTCAACGGCCTCTTCAACGATGTAAACTACAGCGTCACGGACAATGAAGTGATCATAATTACTGATCGCCAATTCCTTGAAAAACGCTGCGAAATTTACGCTCAGTATATGTCATCTCCAGAGAAAATTAGGTAAGCTTAAGCGTTAAAAAATCATATTCATTGGCTCTCACAGGGATTATGAAGATTAGCAAAAGATTAAGTTTAAAAAAATTTGAGAAATATGGCGAGAGAGAACTCATACAGTAGGAGGTAATTGAGTTGCTAAGTGTAGGTTTATATCAAGCCTTAGTTAAAATAAGGAATCAGAGAAGACAATGAAGAAATCATACCGATTAGAAAGTTGGGAGGAGGGGAGGGGGTATTGCACCTGATAACCTCTTGAGTCTGATGGATGTGTCGATGCATGGGCATCACCAAGATCTTGCAGACAATCTCTACACTTTTAAACCAGCCAATGAAATGCTAGTCATTAAAGCTCAATTCTCCGATGTTTCCCATATAAACCGTTCCACTTGGATATGCTTCAGATGCATGTACTGAAAAGTCATGCTTGTTAAATCTTTCCTCAAATTATTCGTGATTAAGCAATGTTTGCCTCTCACAATGTAATTATTTGAAGAAAAAAGAACTAATTAATGGGAGAAATATGATATCCATCTAAAATGCGATAAACGATTGCTAAGACGTCATGAGATTGCACTCATTACAATTCTGGAATTAGTGAGTATAGCTAATTCTGTGAGATCCTCATATGTCAAAGCTCAAGTTGATTTTCGCTACATTCAGGACATGTCAAAAAATTGATTTAACTGAATTGATTGTTATGTAACTTTGTTTCACTGCTAGTTAATCCATTTGACTTTAAACTATTTCAGAGTAGATCCAGAAATTATTATTTTATCGTGTATTTCAGCTCAAGATTATTTAGTCTAAAAAAGCTTAGCCAATGGTTTCAAGTTTTTTTTCCCAAAATGAAGGATTGATTGAAGTATTTTTTCCAATGTCAATGCATTTTACATCTTTCTTGTAGAGTAGTTCACGATACTGCAATCTGGAAACTCCTCTGGAATACCGAACAATTTATGTCTTCCGCCGTTCGAAAAGCCCACGAAATGTATGACCAGGCCATGTCAGGTAGGTGGAGAGGGGGGGGGGGTGGTTGATTCATTGTCAGTGGATGATTATCAGCCTTTCTTTTACTTCCACTCGAACCCATCGTCAAGACTTGGGCGAAAAAGTGTAGAATTCATTCCTTTTGTGTTTTATTACTCAGTTAAGTACTGGAAAACGGAACGAAAACACTGTTTAGTTCCTTAAGTTAACTCATTTCAATGGAATTTGATTGGGCAGTCTTGGAGACAAAGCATATTGTCTAGTGATTGAAAAATATCGATTAGATAAGCGGAGAGCAAGCAAGTTTTGGTAACCTTATTTTGGTATTCACGTCCCCTTGTCTATTTCGAGTTATTAAGGTTGATTATTGTAGTATGCAACCTAAATGCCCATAACGTATTTCAAATTTGAATTTAAAAGAAAGTCGTGTCTGACATATGATGTGAACGTGTTGCATTTGATTAACTAAATATAATTAATGATATCTGACAATAATAGGCATTAAACTCTCCCAAATTATTTCTGGAAACTGATTTTATGATTGCACTCTTGCAAAGCCTTGAAGAGTGGCCATCACTTCAACAGATTTCTCAGACAAGTCGTGTAATTAGGATAAAACTAAGAAAGCTTCTCTTTTGGGTTACTAAGAAAAATATTTTCGCTTTCTCTGCCCTAACTCTTCCATTCAAGAAGGAGGGGAGAGTCAAGAGTCATGGCTTAGGCTGATTGGTCAAGATATTGCAACTCTCTTGAATATGCCCGAGCCGTCGCTGCTAAAACACCCATCGACATTAATTCCAGTTTCAAGTACCTTAAAAGTTCGTCCTAATTTGATTGAAAGTGTTGAAATATGAAGTTGAAAAGAAAGTAATGTCCTTACACCTTTGGTCAGGCCATTGTTTCTCCATCATCGAGGAATTCCACTGTCCAATTTTTTTACTCATAGTCTTAGAAAGAACAAGAAAAGATGAAATGACACATTCTAGAACATATTTCTCAGTGTTGATATCGGAATTATTACATGACTCTTCAAATGATCATTTGAAAAAGCGTTAGTCTATGTTTTGGTGCTGTGAAGAGAAGAATTAATTATCCCAACTCCCGTGGAACAAAGCACTATACCCTGTTCTGCTTCTGCTTGTCGGATTTGTGAATGGGTATTGAAGACGTGAAAGGTAAATTGAAACAAAATAGTCAAGAAATCGGGGATTCTATGTGGTTTCAGCCATTGTTATACGCACTGATATAGAGTATCATTGAGTTAGAGGCATGGAGACCCATTTGGCAGACTTCTTAATCTCCGTTATTTAACACAAATTCCAGACATATACCCAGTTGGGCTTAATTTGGGCACAAAAACAAAACGTGACGTCATAATAATTTGTGACGAAAAGAGCCTCTTTAAAGATCGTAAGTAATGAATATAAATCTTACTCGTTCTACCAACCATGTTAGCTGTTCACGCTTCGGAGCATATGTTAAGCATTTATAAGCATTTTATTTTGAACGTATGCCAATATTTCATTCTTGAATGGTGTTGCATTTTACCATTTTAAGGAGCAAAAGAGCAGCATCAGAGGTGGCTACAATGTTTGCGAACAGTGGAAGATTTCTTTGGAATGACTATAGCACGAAAATTTGTGGCAGAACATTTTGATGAAAAGAGTAAGGAAGTGGTAAGATCTAAAGCAGTTCGCTTAAAACACCAACTTCTTTGAATAGGCAACAAGGATGATTCGAAAGATAAAGATGGCATTCAAGAATTCCTTCTACCAAGTGGAATGGATGGACGATATGGCTAAGAAGAGTGCTGAAGTCAAGGTGGGATATCAGCTTCCTTTTTACCCATTTTCAATAGGTCGATATGATGGGAGAATCTATCGGCTACCCAGAGGATATCAATAATATTGAAAAAGAAAACAAGCCGTTCTTTGCGGTGGTATGTTCAATTGCCCCCTATTAACTATAACTTCAGAATACACCTCTCCATTCATTTCCAACATTGTTTTGCTTTCTAGGATTATCTCAGCAACGACACTTTCTTCGAAAATACCTATAAGTTGTACCGATCAAGAACGTTGATTGCCCTTCGTAAACTTTTCGATTCCAGTGTTATTACGTAAGTCATTAGCACGTCATATGTGCTAAAAAGTGATCTTGAAATTATGCTAATTCGATTTGAGTTGTCATTAATTCAACTTTGCCCTGAAATGTGCAGTCTTGATACTAAATTGAAGACATTTATTTACTTATTTCAAATGGCAGGCGTTTTGATAGTTATCATTAGCCCCTTAACTGACTTCGGATTTCACAGATGGGAGAAACATCAAAGTGAGAAAAATTTATGAGGGAGAAAGAGAAGAGGATTTCAAAGATGTAAAAGACAGACACAAAAGTAGATAAAAAGGTGAGGTGAGTATTGTGGGAGTAGTCGAATATGACAAAGAGTGGGGCCATTGTAGTAGGAAGTCAGAAGTCAACTGCCGAATAATAGACTTTTTTGCTGTACGAGTATATGTTGCCCAGGGTGCACCACGTGGAGGTAAGTCTACCGCATACCCCTTAAATGGAAGACATAAATGTCTTTCAATATTTAATCAAGGGACTACAACAATGCAAATAAAACCTATAGAAAGGAG